CACCCTCCAGTCCATTGGGACCTCCCCAGTCAGCCATGACTTCCTGTAAATGATGGAGAGCGGTTTGGCGAGCACGTCTGCCAACTCTTTCAGCACTCTTGGGTGCAGCCCATCTGGTCCCATAGACTTGTGTGCATCCAAGCGGCTTAGCAGGTCACTGATCTCTCCCTCTTTAACAGTGATGCCCACATTCTGCTTCCCCTCCCTATCTCCTAGCTCATGGGGCTGGGTGTCCAGGGAACAGCTAGTTCCACTGCTAAAGACTGACGCGAAGTAGGTGTTGAGCACCTCAGCCTTTTCCTCATCCTTTGTGACTAAGTTTCCCTCTGCATCCAATAAAGGAGGGAGATTTTCCCTAATCCTCCTTTTGTTATTAATGTATTTATAGAAACCTTTTTTATTATCCTTAACGGTTGCAGCTAGGTTGAGCTCTAGCTGCGCTTTGGCTCCCCTTATTTGCTCTCTGCATAGCTTTGCTACATTTTTGTAGTCTTCATAAGAGGTCTGCCCCCTCTTCCAGAGGTTGTAGACTCTCTTTTTGTTTTTGAGATCTAGCAAGAGATCCCTATTTAGCCAGGCTGGCCTCCTACCCCGCCTACTTGTTTTTCGGCACATGGGAACAGCCTGCCTTTGAAACTTCTTTTTTGAAGTATGTCCATCCTTCCTGGACTCCTGTATCCTTAAGGGCATCCTCCCAAGGGATTTCGTCTAACAACCTTCTGAACAGATTAAAGTTTGCCCTCCGGAAGTCTAAGGTGGCAGTTTTGGTGGCCTTTCTCCTTGTTTCTCCAAGGATGGAGAACTCAGTCATCTCATGGTCACTGTGCCCTAAACGGCCTCCAACCTTAACTTCTCCCATGAGTTCTTCTCTGTTTACAAGGAGCAGGTCTAGGAGAGCACTTTCCCTGGTCGGCTCACTTATTAGCTGCATGAGGAAGTTATCCTCCACACATTCCAGGAACATGCTGGATTGTTCCCTGTCTGCTGTGTTGTAAGTTAGAGCCATCCAGGGATGGTGATTCACCACTTCTGTGGAATGACACAGAGGGGCGAGCACTTTTACAAACTGCATCAACAACTTCATCCTGTTCCTCTCTGCTGCGGGGAACATTTGTACATACAAGGTGGGTTCCTCTGCAGCTGTGCTCAGGCATTCAGTCCACCTGCCAGCTGCCCCTGGGTGCCTGTCTCCCCGTCTAGCATCAAGACATGAGGTCTGCAGCCCCTCTCCGGTTGCTGACACTGACATAAACCCCACTCACCCCACCCAGAGCTGGCCAGGACTCTCTTGCTCCCCCAGGACCAAAGCCCCACAGTCTCTCCCTTAGAGACACATACCAGTCGGTCTCTCCCATAGAGACTCCCCAGACCCCACAATCTCTCCAACAGCTCGGACTTCCTTGGTCCCTCTGATAAGGTCCTGGCTCTTCCTGTGATCTTGCTTTTAAAGACCTCCAACCCCCCTGCCTCCCAGGCCACCACACATACTCACTGGCTCATCCAGCTGGATCTTTGCCCACACTCATGCTTGCACACCCACTTGCTCTAGCACCCAAAACATTGGCATTTGATCCCTGGTCTCATCCCAGGGACTGACTCTTGGTGTCACTCAGGTCTCCTCAGCTGGCCACTACACAGGCACAGGGGCCCTCTCCCCTGAGGTCCCAGTCTAGCTGCTGGCACTCAGACCTGCACCTCCTCCAGCTGCTGCCACCACAGACATGGGGTCCTCTACAGCCAAGGTCTCAGTCCAGATGCTGGCACTGAAGTCCACTCACTATGGTCTCTAGTTGCCACATCATGGACACACGAATCCTCTGATCCATGGTGTGACTCCAGTTGTTGGCACTCAGACTCCCATACAGGCAGGCATGCACCCTGAATAAAGAGTCCCTCACCCATGGAAAGAATCAGAAAGCCAAGAAGAGAGGACAGACTGCACTAACTGGGCACAGCCAGAAAAGTGCCTTACCAGCAACTATTTATATGCAAGCAGTCCTTTTTATGACCTTACGCCTCTGTTGTCTCACACTTGTTCCTCCCAAAATCACTTGGATCTGTTCCTTTTCCCACCTTTGGTTCCTCCCCTAAGCATCTCCTAGTAAGCCCTATGCAGTGCTACAGTGCTGTTCCCCTGCACCCCAAGGCACACCACCAGGAAGTAGCTCCCTCAGCCTGAAAGGTGGTGTGGTGCTGGCTCATCCTGGTGCCTTCAGAACTGGGGTGAGGCTTTCCTGGTAGAGCCCTGGGAGGAGCCCAGGCAGGCTGCCCCTTCCTCTGAGTCTCTTATTTGACTTCCTACCTCCCTTGGAGCTTCTGTGCTTGTGGAGATGGGCCTCTGATGGGCTGGTATCTCCTGTGATGGGCCTGAGAGCAGCAGGGACAGGGTGTTATTTGGGCTCTTACCTGCCATTGCCTCTCTGTGGGGGTGTGGAGGAGCTTTTATTGCATAACCTAACATTCCACATCCTCCTTTCTGAGGGGCTCGTGCTCTATTGTTTCAGAAGGTTTGAACCCAGGTCAGTGAATGAAACCCATCTTTCTCAACCATCTCCCCAGCCAAATGGGCTGTATCCACAGAAACCCCAGTGGCTTCCAGGAAGGGATCCAGGCTTCTCAACCACCTGCTGATTTATGGCCCATAAAAATGTTAACTATCTACTGCAGGTGGAACACAGGACAGAGAGCACAGGGAGGTGGGTGTCCTTCCCCCTCCTTCAGGACACATCTCTGCCATCCACATGCTGCCGCAGGTGACAGCTCTGGATTTGTTTTGTGTGCCACCCCGTGAATGTACTCGCTAGCAAACTCTTACAACAGTGGCTCCTTGGTGGGTTAATGTCCTCATTAATGTCCCCAGTAATATTCTCACGTTTGGGGTTGCTTTCTTTGGGTAAAGTTGTGGCAGAGGTCTTGTTGGGTTTACGCGTCATAAGACAGCACACATTTTCACAGCAGGGCAGCTGTGTACTGCTGGGACTGTACATAGAATCATAGAATCGTCTAGGTTGGAAGAGACCCTTGGGATCATCGAGTCCAACCATCTCCCCTACTCTACAAAGTCCTCCCCTACACCATGTCCCTTAGCACTGCATCTAAACGGCCCTTAAACACAGCCAGGGATGGTGACTCCACCCCCTCCCTGGGCAGCCTGTTCCAATGCCCTATCACTCTTTCGGTGAAAAATTCCTTCCTAATGTTCAATCTAAACCTACCCTGTTGGAGCTTGAAGCCGTTCCCTCTCGTTCTGTCACTAATTACCTGTGAGAAGAGACCAGCACCAACCTCTCTACAGTGTCCTTTCACGAAGTTGTAGAGAGTGATGAGGTCTCCCCTCAGTCTCCTCTTCCTCATACTAAACAGTCCCAACTCAGTGCCATCCCGCAGCAGGACCTTTAATTGGCAGGGAACATGGTTATGTAAATGAAGTCGGGCTGCTTCTTTCTGTCTGAAGAAGCTGCACGTAGCTCCCAGGCTTCACGGATGTCCCAGATGCTGTGTAATCAGCCGGGAATCCCGTCCTTTGACGTCCCCTTTCCTCCACCTGGATGGATTTGGCCACGCAATCCATCCCGTGCGGGGGTGGAGAGGGGGGACGTGAGGTGACCTCACCATGAAGCGGCGGCGCCGCCGGCTTTCGGTTTTGTTTCCCGGGAACCCCTCTGCTTTCAGGAACGGACAGGTCCCTCGGGAAGTCTCCCCGGGCCCGCCGGGGCTGGAGCCATGGGTGGGAAACGTCGTGTCCGTCAGCCGGGCGCCGGGGGCTTTCGGGGCCGGCTTTCCGCGGAAGGTCGCCGACCGGAGAGTTTCCCGGGGCCGCCTCCGACGAGGACGACGTGCCCGCAGCGGGGACAGACGGGGACGGGGGTGGGGGGTCTCACGCATCCGGCACAACCCGTGGGGGCGGGCAGGGCTCCCGCCCCGCCCC